TCTAGAGCGCGATTGGCTCATGAGTACGGTGGGTACAATATCTCTCCTCACGAGCCAATCGCGCTCTAGAGGGCGCTTACGCGGTCCGCCCTCAGATGGCGCTTACGTCTGGAAAAGCGGGTCATTGATATCTTTTAAAGCTGCAAAGCACAGTCTTAGACTTAGCTCATCCAGGAGAGCCGAGAACGATGAATATCCCAAAGTTGTCAATCTGCCGAGCCGCTGCCTTTAAGAAGTGACATTTGCACTTACAGCACTTGAAATTCCTTTTCGCACATTTAGATCATCTTTGAGAGTTAGTAAAGCATGAATTAATTACCTACTTCATTTTATTGATAAATTCTACACTTCTCTGGATAACAGATGGGAATTTTCTTGGAATCTCACGTCTTGGGCTTTCGTTGACTAGGCTCAGATCTCCAAACTCCAACGGAGTGTCATATAGATCACCCCTCCATGTGTTGCCTTCGATGTCTGAAGATGTAAATCTCTCATAAGCAGTTTTTATTTTTTTCCTGAAAAAGTTTACCTTTTCTTCGACATGCATTCAATTAATACGTATCACGTATGTACTTCCCAGAATAGAAGAAATGGTAATGCCCTTGATCTGAGGAGTAGGGCAAGAATAAACTTTTCATTTTCATGTATAGCCCCTTCGAAAGCGTTATCAGCATGACACCAGGGTGTGTACTTTCTCGTGAGCACGATGTTGTTCACGAGACAGGATATCTCCTAAATGAAGAAAAGAAATGAAAAAATGGAGCTCTTCAAGAAACTCACTTTTTTCTTTGCAACTAGTCCTCTTAAAATCCACCCTTTCCTCAAAGGCTTGAACAAAGGCCTGTTCGTTGGTGGTGCTGTTTTGCATATCTCCTCAAAAGATGGGCATATTTGTTTACTTACTATTATTATATGTCTATTAACTAGAAAATTGAGCTAGACCCTGACGTTCATGAGAACAAAGAGAACTGAATGCATTGCTTATCAGCCATTCGACCACTAAATATATATTACTCAAGGACGTTATGATAAGCGTCTAAGAGTGTGTCACTCAAAGGCTACTGTTTACATTTTTTACCGTGACGTCTGTGCTGTACAGCAGCCACTTTGATAACAAGTGCGAGTGGTAGTTGCGATAAACAACTATTCCTCGCGTCAAGAATTTGTCACTTAGAAGCTACTGTTTACATGTTTTACAATGCATGCACATCTATTGCCACTCAGCGGCATCTTTGATAACAAGTGCGAGTAATAGTTTTTGCACACATGTCGAAATATCTCCAGTGTTTACCTAAAGAAATTCTGTCTTCTTTAGATATTCTCACTTTCTAGTAGACTCAAGAAATTGAATTTGACTAATTTTCCTCCACATGACTACTTCTCGTTACCGCTCGCATAGTGCTGCCGTTCACCTGCCGAATCTCCTACGGTCTCTGCTTCGCATGCTGCTTGGGCTTCCTCTAGTATTATGTAACTAACTCTATTAATCTTCCAATTGCGCAAAAGATCTTAGTGATAACCTTCCCAGATACTATATTTGCGACCGTTGAAGCTTCAAGTCATTCACTGTTTCGACCATTACTTCTCCCACTAGTTGGTTCCAGTCCGGTTCACCCTTCCTTTATTATTTGAAAATAGCTTGTCAGGCCTGTCTCATCTTTTTGCATTTTATTACCGAGTTCTATTTTCTCCCCAGAGTCAGTCGGGCATATTTATCAACACATACCGTCTTCGCAAATACAGTTGCTTAAGTTGAGTGATCTTAGAGCACTTTTGCTACAAGCAAGGGATGAGACAGACTCCAGTGAGCTTCACACTGATAATATATTCGTACATGGTCTCAACAAGCTTAACTCACCCTCTATTCTTGACATCTGGGAGCCGTGATCTGTTGTAGATGTTATTGGTTGTTTGTTTATCACTGCTCAGGTTCTGAGTATATCCATTTACTTTGTCGAAAATGTGGCACGCGTTGTGCGCATTAAATAAATAAATTAAATAAAAAATAGTTGCGGGAGGAGCAGAAAGTGAGCAAACAAAATCAGTTGGCCTCATATCTCACTGCTAAGAAAACCTAGAAAAAAAGGCGACTGTCTACGTAGATTCCCCATGAGCTCAGCTTTCGAATGGTTTGAAAATTGTTGAGGCTTTTTACTTCCGTGCTTCAAAAAATACTTGCTTCGGTGACCCATAAAAGGTAATATCATTAAAATGGCGAGGTGGAGCAAGCTAATGTTAAATATCTCCAACCCTTTTTCAAAAACTAGCAATTATTTCGCCCAGCATCCTATACACCATTCGAAAGCTTAGGAAAAGGGGATTAATTCAACATAGACTTCTTCCTAACCCCCTTCTACAGGGACATACATGTATAGGCTGCCGATGACGAAGGCGCAATATTTTTGGACGCAAACGCGGCTTTTTTAGCCGCAGAGCGCATGAGGCGCATAATTTACAACGGTGAAAACACGCGCGCGCCGCCTTCGTACTCCCGCTAAAAGAATTTTGCGCCTTTGTCATGCAGTAACCTTTATTTTATCTGGAATGTTCGTATTTTACTGCGATCTCTGCCCAACGAAGACATAATCACTGTTGATTATCTATCTGTAAAACAGAGAAAGTCTTCATTAACAAAAGCAGACATTCGATTTTCATCTTTGTTGCGATAGGAGTAGAAAATGAGCACACAAAGTTAGATAATATATGGGCTACATAAAATTCATATCTCACGGCTCAGAAGATCTAGAAGTGGGCGGTCTAGGTCGATTTTCTATAATTTCAACCTTCGAATGGTTGAAAAATGTTGCGACTTTTTGCTTCCTGCTCTGAAAATACTCCTCCGGTGATCCATAGAAGTTAATACATTGAAAGGAACGTAGCGTAGCAAGCTATAAAAAATATGCTGGGTTGACAGTTTGCCATCGTTATCAGCAGTGACGGGGAACGTGAGCGAACACTACATATACTTAAGTGTGCTTTTGTTATGAACACTGTCAAATCGCAGTTTTTTCAACTGTGCTGTGTGATTAGTTATTAAGTTAATTTCTTTTGGCGCACTTATAGTGCATATTTAAATAAAATAAATAAAAAAAATAAATAAAGGAGCTCAACACAAAGTTCTTCCTTGTAAAGTGACTCCAGAATCTTCAAATTTGTTTTCACTTGTCTTACAGAATTTCGATGCTTGTATTTTGAACTTACATGGGCTCCAAGAAACTGGAATTATCGTACAATGATTTCTTATCAAACTGTACACTGAAAACCACAGAGAACAGAGAAGCTCGGCACAGCTGGCACCGGGTCAAGCTGAATATCGTTCTCGGCAGAAGAGGATATTGTTTTTGCGAGATGCCGCTGTTTCCTGGAATGACCGGGCACGCCGCTGGCACGCGGCCGGCATGGCGGCATGCCTACTCTTTATAGACACCTCAATTCATTAGCATGCTGCCAGCAGCCGCATGCTAACGGCATGCCGTCGGTATGCCGCCGAAATGCCGGTGCTAACACAGCGCAGGAATTCGAGTTCTGCCCCAAACAGACCAAAGCCTTGTTTACAAACAAAACGCAATCATATGGCCCAAATGTGATGTGTGCATGCGCATTGGGCCCGAATTATGGCCCAAAAAATTCGTGAAAACTTATGCGAATGAAAGCTGCGCTGAACTTTTTTTCTAATATAGCTGACACCGGTCAGCTGGGTGCCAGCTGAACTAGCACTGACCCTTTGATCACATACGTTTTCGTACTTTCTTAAATGAATTGTATCTACACTATAAAAGTTTAATACAAAGAAAAAAATTGTAATGTTTTGTTTTCGACGTTTTAATGCCATCAAATTTCACGGTCTGGCTCGCAGCCGAGAAATCTGCTCCAATCACAAAGCGCTCCCAAAGCAAGCAAATACAAAATAGGTCAGAGTGGACATCGTACGAAATCCCTAAGATCAAAGGGTACTTCGTTTTGAAAGTCCCTGGTGCCAGTTCATGCCGAACCCTGAAGAGAGTTTTTTTGATTTATCTTAATTGGTTCAAAAAAAAGAGCGTTTCTGCCACAGCCGCAATGTGAATATAAAAGTGTGGGACACTATCCGATAGACAGAACATGGTTATGAAGCAACTAAAGCCAAAATTCAAAAAAAGGTGCCTCGAAACGTATTTCACATATGAAACTCTGCAAGACGTTCTACTTATTTAGCATGTAATATACGCAACAACCATTCATTAAATGCATTCCCTGCATCTTTTTTAGCGCTACAAATTGAGGTAAAAATAAAGGACGAAAGTTGGCAAACACTATCGCGCGCTAGTTTCACATGTGGAGTTGAATTCTATGAACCTTTAAAAGTAAACTATGAGGATCTTATCACTATATGTGCTTGGCTATAAAAAATATCCATCCAGAACAAAAAAACCATAGGCCACGTTTTTGCATTTTTTGCCCGATGCTTCTTGGCTTTTAAGCTGGAAAAATTCCAGCAATTGCATCTACGTAATTTACCTGTTCACTATTTACATACAGTCGTTTTCAATACGTATTGGTTTTTTTCTGCCGTATGCCTTCCAGCCTCAACATGACGTGGATTGGTGCGGCGCCGCCTCGCCTCGGGTCTGCGCCATGTAGCGGACGCTTGGCGCAGGCCCGAGGCGACGCGGCGCCTCACCAATCCACGTCATGTTGAGGATGGAAGGAAACGGCAGAAAAGACCAATACGTATTGAAAACGGTCAGGTCGGTCCGAAAATTGGTGCCGTTCAGGACTGTGTTCAAATCACTCAGAACAAAGACAGATAAACCTTTAAAACGGCGGCGTAGCAGGAGAACCAAACCTGCCGCCATATCCGCAGGAAGCAATTACGAGCGCAAACACTGTGGAGAGGATTTGGTAAGGATTTAAAACAACATACCAAAAAAACTTGAAGGAGACCATACGAAAACGTATATCATAACTCTGCTTATGAAAAAGCACAGAAATACGAGTAGAAGTTTTGAAATCCACTTTCCATGGCTTCTCTTAATGAAACAACCGTCATTCGAAAAGCTCGCCATAAAGAATTTTCACGATTCAAGTTGGAAAATGGAGGGGAAGGTAAACTTAAAGTCAGCAGTCCAAGATGAAACTTTGAATTAATAAATCAAATGATTGCAAAATGTATTTGAACCAAATTAGAAATTTTTCAGAAATTGAGAATTTGCATTACATTGACGTAAAATTTTCTGTAAGTTGTAGATTTACCATTATGGTTTTCAGATGGTTCAAAATTTGAATTCGAGCAAGATTTGTGAACAATTTCTTAATCTTCAATTTTCTAATACCGATTTTCAGCGTCACATTTGACGACTTTGGCTTCTTGACATTCAATAATGCTTAAAAATCTTGAAACTTGAGTGTAAGTACTTCGACGTAGCTAATGTTTTTCTGGGATTATTCATATTCAAAGATTGAACGTAAATGATTAGTGAATTCCGCTTTCATTTCTCCTATAAATGCGGCTGAAAACGCAGATTACAAATTGCCCCACTTATTTCTCTAGCGTTTTCCCCAGCGAAGTTACGAGGTAAGTTTTCTTACGAACATTTATGGATTCCTACCAAGTTTTCTTAGATCCTGGCCAAATCTCCGGCGCAGTGCTCGCGCCTCTAATTATCTCCTGCGGGCATTGCCGGCTAGGCCTTTGATTCCTCCTGCGCGTCCTCTCTTTGACACGATATTAGAATGCAGAATTTCTTCCTATTTATGGCAGTGGTGTTTTTGTCCCGTGTCCTTTGAAGATCGCTCGAATAACTATCAAAATCTTCCACCGATTGTTTCACCTATCCTTTTCAGCTATTTTATATGACTTTCAACTCAGTCTTTTCGAAAAGTTGTTGTAACATTTGGATAAGGCAAGCAAAATGCAATACAACGGAGTTTTTTTTAGCATCTCTAGCTTGCTTCTAAAAATTTCCAGAATCGCTTTTTGTTGCTATCAGAATCCATGTTTGGGCATCCCAATATCAAAGAAGAGCAAACGGCGAGCATCTCAGGTGTCGCTGGATGCAGTTTTTTTCCTCTTTCCAGGTATTTCACTTCAAATTTGTAAAATCTAGGGAAAAATATCATAAAAAAAGGAGCACATTGTAAAACATGCCATCAGGAACAACTAAGGAAAAAACAAAAAAGGATCAGAAATCAATCAATTCACTAATTAATTCACCTGCGAGAATACCATCTGTTCATAGCTAGAAAGTATTTTTTCAACTTTAGATACTCGTGAAATCTTGCTCGCGAATAGTATTGCAAATATGTCAATCTATCGGGCACGAAACTGAAGCAAAGCACTTTCGTACTCCCTACTGCTCATTTGGAATGATCTTCTTGATTTGTGCAGGCGAAAATGGAAGGAAATCTTTTGATTTTTGATACTCTAAGGTAGGGGATAAAGTAACGCCTGCCAAAAAAATCGCTTTCGTGTGGCAAATAATAAAAGTTTGTGTCAAACAAAGTTCCGCTTTTTTTTCGAAACAGTTTTCAAGTATCAGTTACTAGTTATTTAACACTTAAACGAATTCAAATGCCGTAATTCCACGAGTAGAAGGTGTTTTTCCAAACTTAAACAGCCTGATACACCAAAAAATACCGTGATCAAAGGACATTCTGCTGCGATCCCGCAAGGCACAATGGTACCGCCGAGCTGCTTGCTTGAAAAAGATGACAGAGTTGCGTTTTTACTGGTGAACTTAGGGTATATATCAAGAAAATAATACGGTTTAAGCGGCTTGATGTTCTAGAAAATCTTTAGACTCAAATACTTGTCTGCCGATCACCGCAAAGCACCGTAGCCCCATGGCTTGCGGGAAAGGCAGTTTTTTCTCCAAACATTCAAATGAAAAGATTCTGTATTCGTAAAAAGTGGTTGGCTGGCTCAACTAACTCCCGCGTAATGTTGACTGCTATAGAAAATTTCACCAATCTCAATGAGAGCTCGCAAAAATAGGGCATGCTTTTTTTGAGATGCTGTGTGTAGTGACCCATAAGAAACTGCTGGTTTGCCGTGACTTCAATTTGTTGTTGATAAAATGCCATTATCCTTCTCCACATTCAGAATTAACTCATACTTGTTGTACTTGAAAATGATATGATTAGTGAAAAATAACGGATGTTTGCCATATTGCAGAGGTCTGAAAGCAACTATGCAATATTTCTAGAATTCTTCAAGCTGTAAACGGTTGTGAGTCCTTCTCTGTGAGCTCTGCATAACGGCTTCTATCTACTTCACATTATATCAGAGAAATGTGTGTTCCGCGAAAGAAAGCGAGCGGTAGCAAAAAATCTGCGAAGGGCGGCAAGAAGAAGAGCGGCAAGCAGCAGAAATCATCACAGTCTCCATCACAGCCTTCGCCTGCGCCGACAGCTCCAAAGAAGGGAGAATCACCAGCAAAGAAGGAAGAGAAAGCACCAAATAAGGGACAAGAAATAAATTCGGTCGAAGAAAACCCGGGTGAAAATATTCTAGCGAAACCCTGTGCAAGCGTAAGTTCCATAATAATTGATAGCTTTGCATAATTTAATTCTAAGAACTGCACTATAGCGTAATCTCATGAGTTGGCAAAACTTATCTATGAATTTTAACCTTCGAAAAGATCACGCATGTACCAGCATTGTTCAGTGGTTTCCTTCATGCTCGTCTTTCACGGGATAGAGGGATATTCAAATTTTGAGTGAAATTTGAAAACTTATTTGTGCTGCTTGCATTTGATAATCGCGTAGGCCGTCCCAAAGTCACTAAATTGTTTTCTCTAATTGGCGGTTGGGCGAAATCTTACAGCGATACTTATCAAACTAGCAGAACGTACCACATTCAAATCTAGTTTTTGGGGGGTTTCGCAACTTTTTGAATGAACTTTCTTGCTGAATTCCACCATCGAAACCACGAGAAAAGGCATTATCGTTTGCGATAAAATTAAGTTTATTGTTTCTGAAGTGAAATTTTGTCATGTGAGCTATCATCTCTGCTTCGCAGAGGGTGTCCAGGGGCGCATTGAAGTCGAAAATCTGGGTGGACGGTGCTTTAAGGTGACTACGAAGCTAACAACTCCAAAAACCGATCTGAATTTGCATTCCTTTGGGGAAAGTTTCATCCACGCAAAATTACCGCTCTTATGTGAAAAGCTATAGAAATGAGTAGCTATTCACAAATCATTCGTGATAGTCTGCATGCGGTGAGGTTCAATGTCATTAATGCGAGAATAAGTAAAGCATACAGATAGTGGGACCAGTGACCGGAGAACCCACAGGCCGGCTTTCCGGAACGGTGATTGGATGGGCGCGCACAAATGGGTGGGCATGGATGGGGGTCCTCGTGCATCTTCGCTATTCGAAGCGATTTTCGATTTTCTCGCTTCCGAAGTGGCATTGGGCATTGGATTGATAGTGGGATCTACTATTATGTGCTGCCAAAAGCTCAACACCCTCAACCTTAGGGTGAACGGTGCCTTTAAGGATCATAATCACTGGTTCTACACCTCTGTGCAAAAATCTTCACAAATAATCAAGTAAAATCTTGGCAAAGTGAACATTTACACAGCCAATTCTTTTTGACGCCATTTTCGTAAAGTAGACTTTTGACCTTTTTTTGGTAATGTTCATGGCTTGCACATTTACTTGCCAAATATATCCATGACTTTGCAAAAGTGGTGCTACAGGATCAATTTTGCCACCAAAAACCAAATGGATTTATTTGATGCGCTATTTTTTTTGAAGAATCCACCCAACGGATCCGCTTCCGCTTTAGCATGATAGACTTCCATGCTGCTAGCACAAGCCGTGCAAAATTTGGGCTCAGGACGTTGGCTGGAACACGTTCTACAAGTTTCGTAACGCGGACAGACAGATAGACAGATAGATAGACAGACCAGATACACACACAACACACACACATACATTGATTTTGAGTAAATCCCATGTTGTTTTTTTTTTGGTTCAAAAAAACGCTCATCGGCATCCAAGAGAATGCAACAGATGCTGACAAATTTGGAATCATCGTTCAAAATTCTAATGAAATTGATTTTCGTTTTTTCAACTAAAATAGGCCACCTTGACTAAAACGCTTTTCCTGTAGATTGTGGGCAACAGTGCCAATAAACTTGCAGTTATAAAAAACGATGCTATAATTTAGAAGAAATAATCTTGAGCTAAGGCCGATACGTGTTTATAGTGGAACACCTTTACTGGTATTTACATACCAATAAAAGTACATGCTTGATCGTCCTACTGATTGCCACAGTTTCATTTTTTAGCCGCCCTGTCACTCTTTTCACAAGATTTGCGCGTTTTTTTTAAGACTGTCAAAACTCTAAAGTTTTTTTTTCAGACGGCGTTGAAAAGTACGTGGGTTTTCTTTTAAATTTTCAACATTTGAAAAATAGATAGCTTGTGTCCGTCTTTACATTTTATTTGATTATCGCATATTCTAGAAGAAAAGCCAAAGGAGCCGCTGCACATTAAAGTGCCACCTCCACGGATTATGTGAGTTTTTCGATGAGATAATGAATCAATTTGTCTGAGTAAAGGGACGTTGTTATATGAGTTTCACTTTGATATTGTCGTTATATATGGCTGTAGATATAGATGACGCACTTATCGTAGAACACTCTTCGAGGAATCTTGTACATATTCACCTGCGCAAGTGCGCATGCTATTGACTTTCCTTCATGAAGTACAAAGTATTATCACAAAGCTTTCGCCGATTTACTACATATCATCGAAAGTAGATCAAGCTTTGCAGTAAGGCTTTGACCATACATTACCCGTGTTCTTCGTGTTATAGTATTACTCGTGTTGCTAGTGTTACTCGCGTTATCCGCTAACCAATGTTACTCGTGTTGTCCGTGTTGCCCCCAGTCAGTTATGTTGCGTTTTAAAATAAGACCGTATTGTGATCATTTCATTATTCAACAGCAATAAAAGCGGTAACACTAATAACACGAGTAACACGAGTAGCACGGGTAACACTGGTAAAACTGATAACACGAGTATAAAGGGCCGGGCATACTTCACGCGATTTCAGTCGCGACGCGACGTGGCAGTTCACCAGAAGTCTTCAGATCTAACACTAGCAAACTGCGCATGCATAGTGTGTATAACTTACGTGGCTCAATGAAATGCCCTATCTTCTGCACATTTAAAATGTGCTTACAGTGAGTTATGAAAAGTTGGAATATTGCCAAATCGCGTCGCGAATGAAATCGCGTGAAGTATGTCCGGCCCTTAATGCTAACACGACTAACACTAGTAACACGGGTAACACGGGTTTATGGACAAAGCCTAGGACTAGATCTGAAGAAGGTCTTGGCTGTTAAATTACACATAATCCTGCTGCCAGAACGTAGCAGCTCAGCATAGCTCCTTCACGCGCTTCAATGAAAATGCCTTCTAAAACATCTTATCGCTTTGTTCGGAAGAGAGTGTTCACGTCAGAACGTCGTTTTTTCCACAAAGACAAGTATTTCTGTTGGTTGCAGAAGCAGGTAGCAAAGAAATTCTTATAGATAAGGACGAAATTTTCAAACATCCTTATACTGCTTCTTTTTCCTTTCTAATTTCATCGCAGCACGCATTTTTTAATTTCAGAAAACTATTGTATTCAAATTCATCAAAATTCCTGTAAGCAAACATCCACAAGCATTCGGATTCCTTTGACTTTGGCCTTCCAATTGAGATCAAGCTGGTGTCAGAGTGATGGCAAATACTTGCATGCTACCTTGTAGAAATTCTAGTGCTTTGTCGAATGGTAGCCTAAGTGGGTTCTAAAGATTCTTAGTGCAAAATCGACAAATGACAAATGCAACATTTCCGATACAAAAACGTAAAGTCGAGCAAATCTGAGCAAAAATTTTCCAAACAAAAATTGTAGAGGGTACTGAGAAGGGTAAAAGAGGTCCGAGAAGATGTGGGCCCGGAAAAGAATTGCAAAAGAAATTGTTGAGAGGGAGAGACACTTTGCAAAGATGCAAATCCAGAAAAGGCAGGTGACGAGATGTTTTGGGAAGTTTTAGAAAATAACCAAGCCATGTGGGACAAAAACAATTCAAGCAGGTGTAAGCTCACAATTACCCGAAAAAGAATGCAAAGAAGACTGGGAAGGGAAGGAGGCACTCTACGAGGATGTTGGGAAGAAGTGCCAAGAAATGTGGGAATAGACATAAAGTGACAGAAGTGTATACTTAGACCTAGCCAGGAGAAACTGCCGGTGAGATTGAAGAAGAGAGGGGACTCTGGGAAACTGTGGAAAAGAACTGTCAGGGTAAATGAGGCAAAACATAAGCGAGTCTTTGCTCAGGTTTTAACAAGAAAGAATTACAGAGGAGATTGGGAAGTGGAAAGGACATTGAGAGAAATGTGGGAAATAAGAAAGAACTACTAGAAATAGTTTCAAGGAAACATAGAAGCAATAAGTATATGCTCAAATTTACTAGGAAAATGAAAAAGAGGTTGCGAGGCGATAAAAACGTATTGGGAAGATTTGGGAAAGAAGTGTCCGATTATGTGAGACACATGATTAATTAAGTATTAGGTCGTTCCGAAAGTAATGTCGCTTTTTTCAAATGGACGCCACATTTCACGGAACCAAGATTTTCAAGAGATCTTAGGAGCATTCAATGCAGCTCTCCATCCACTTTTTAAAGGTGGTAATATCGTTGCATAATATTCAATGAGCTCTGGAAAAATTACCAAAATCTGCGATCCATGCTTTTTGCTATGGTCAAGTTCGACTATTTTTCTAAATTTTTGTACCTATCCTCCGAAGAAGTGCAAGTGACTAATAGATAGCGCAAACCCTATAGGACACAGAGTGATTTTTTCTTTTCCTTAGCTTGCTTATTAGAGTTTCTGGAATCAATTATTCAGTGCTATCAAATCCTATATTTGGTCAACTCAAACCTCACACAACAACACTCGGCAAGCAACTCGGGTGTCATTCGGAGCAGCTTTTTTCCTCTTTCTACCAGTCGCTTTTTGTCTCTGATTCATCAAGTTTTCCGGGATAAAATCATCATAATTCGGGTTTTTCAGGGCGCCCCAGGCTGTACCCGGAAATTTCGAAAGCTGCTAATCTGAAGCGATGAGCGCTCATTTGGTTTGCAAAATTAGTGTCAAAATATGTCAATATATAGAATAATCCATCTTTGTAAATGTCAAAATCCGAAGATTTAGGGGTGTTTAATGCATTTGTTGTCTGAGACGAGCCTGCTAAAATTCGGTAGTTCCATAAAAAGATCTATACAAAAATTATGACGAGCTCTAGAAAGTAGAAAAAAGTTTTGCTATTTTTTGTAAGGTTTGCTCTTTCCATCCACTACTTGGGCTCCTTCCGGGGCTGTTATAAAAATTTGGAAAAATTGTGAAACTTGACCTTCTCGAAAAGCATGGGTCGCAGATTCCGGTAATTTTCCCAGAGGTTATTCAATTTTGTGCGGTAGTTATTTAACCATTAGAAAGAGAATGAAATGCTGCGTCAAATACTACCAGAACCTCTTACATATCTTTGTTCCACGAGATGTGGCGTACGTTTGAAAAAAGCGACATTACTTTCGGAACGACCTAATATATGCTCAATCTATCCAAAAAAGATTTGCGAAGAAGACTGGGAAGGGTGCAAAGAGCGTCAAGGGAATGGGCAAGGCAATACGGGAGATGTGAAAAAAAAGACTAGGCAGTTGAAGCAAGTATATTCAAAGATATACCACTTAAAGGCCATGACAATCGAAAAGGGAAGGAGTCGTGATGGAAAGAATTGTGAGAGAAGTAAGATATGGGAAAAACACAACTACCCTAAAATCCCGCAGATAAGTCCGCAAAAAAATCGCCTAAAATCGCCTAAAATTACCTTAAAAGGCGATTTTTCATCGATTTTTTGTGTCAAGAAGGCAGACTTATCTGCGGGATTTTAGGGTAAATACACAAATATGCGCCAGCGAACGACTTGGGGTGAAGACGAATGAAGCGATTTCCGTCTCCCGGATACAGCGTCATAACGGGGACATGTTTGCCAATGTGTGTGTCTAAACACTTTTATATCGATCTCAGAAATTTTTTTATGGTCTTGTGAAAATTTCACAGAAATTGATTGCTTTTGTGTGTGCTAGCGCAAAATTGTCAGGACAGATGATTTTAAAAATAGGCCAAAGAGAAAAGATCTTTTTTAATCTAAAAGAAGCAAAGTCATAAATGACAGACTGTCTGCAAACTCTTTTCGCATTGAAAGACGTCTGAAAAAGTATTAACGGCATCTTTTGAAAAGCAGTAGCACAAAAGATCAACTGTTTAGTGCTTGATGGAGCGTGCTATATGCTATCGTTATTTACGAAGGAATGACTCCATCCATATGAAGAGAACATTCTATGTATAGAAAACGCAACATCGTCGAAGAGAAGAAGGGAGGAACAGGAAAAATACAAAAGGATGCTAAGGGAAGCAGAGGGAAGGTGAGAGGGTAAATTCGTGAGTAATGCTAGTAGACTCCCAGTAAACAGTGGAAGAACCTAACTTTGGTAGAACCACTAACTGTATGCGGGAATTTTTTTTATATTTTATGAGGAATTTTTGGTGTATTTTCTTTTTTGTTGAGATATTGCTTCCTTTGATGTTTTTTCTCATTTGTTTAGCTATGAATTCGACATCTGAGTGATTCCAAACGAGGAAATTCGTTATTTCAACGGTGGACCAACAATCTTATTCGTCTATCAAAAACTTTTGGGGGCCATCGAGTCCGGGTGTAGAAGTTAGCCATATCCCAGAAGAAAGGGCAATAAGACCTAGAAAGGAAGAAACAAAAAAATAGATGGAACCCTCAAAAGAGGAGATACTCCATACGAGAACAGAAAGAAATAAAAATTAGGGAATATTCGAGCAAAAACAGATGATTCGAAAGAGGCAACATTGGAAATATTACATTTTAATTTGGTGAAAAAACAAAGGAGAGCAAAGCGCGGAGCGGAGTCGCTCTTCTGGGAGACCAACCACATCACCTAGAATCCGTTGCTAAGAAAAGTAACGTCGAATTCCTAAAAAAAGATCCCCGGAAACTGATAATTAGATAGCCTCTGTTTCAGAAATTTTGAACTTCTCTGTTAAAAAGAAATATAGATCTCGCGGTGATAGCTTCCACTGGAAGTCCATTTCATTTTCTGATAACGCGCATTGAGATTAGCTTGTATGAGAATTGCTGGTTCCTAACCACATTCCCTACTACAAGCATGAACATGTGCCCTCTGATATAATTGATATGATTGTTCGAATTTTGATGGATTAAAAAATGTTGCATTTCTAATTCAATCCTCCTAGTCATTGTCCTCGAAGACAAGGTTTTGGTCATAAAGGGTTTTTCTAAACGCGAGAGTAGTAGTGGCTAGGATAGAAAGCCTGGATTTATAGCATTATTGAAAAAATAACTTGCTGCGATAATTCATGTGTCTCGTATAAAAAGTCAAGTTTGTTCAAGATATTGCAAAACTTTCGAAAATGATACCCATAGGTAAAAAATATTAGTATCACTACAAATTAC